AAGGAACGTAGGAAAGCAACACATTAAAATTGCTGATGATGGTGGGAGTCGTAATGTTGTTCACTTTTAGTTGTTGTTGCTGTTGTTTTATATGGCAATTAAAACAAAACTCTTCTACGTAACGTTTATACTACTTACATTTTTTGTTGTTGTTGAAATAGACGGAAAAACTCATACCTACCGCTAACGACTTCAGTTTACTCTGAAGTAGTATATGAATAAAAAGACTCATAAGCCACAATAGAAGTGCTATGCAACAAACACATCTCACATGTATGTATTTGTAATAAATGCTGATGCAACATTTAGCAGCAAGCTGGATGAATGTTAGGTTGTTTGGCTGGGTGATTTGCTGACTTCACTTCACTACTACTGCTGCTGCTACGGTCATAAGGGTCTGGGTCTTTTCGTTTACTAACTACTGGTACAACAACAATTATAACTCTTTAATTTGTCTACCTACTGCTTCGCGGTGTTGTAGGGGATTAGGATGGTATTTAGGAGTTTTTACAAATCATTTGCAACATTTTCTAATTACAAAAATTTAACAATTTTAAAACAATGATTTCAGAAAAAATTCATTCAAATGTTTGGGAAATTTTAAGTAATTTTGGAAGATTTTCGAAAACAATTTTGCATTATTTTACTTCAAGAAATATTTCTTAAATATTATAGGCTTTATTCATAAACATTTATCAAAGATTTATAGAACAAATTTTGTATACAAATTTGATTTATAAACCTATGATAAAAGTTTATGAATAAGACAGTATATTTAAGTTTATACTATAAAATGTAAATTTTATGCAATTTTGATTTAGCTACTAAACCCCTAACATTTATATTATAATTTCTGTAGCAGCTTAGCGTTTTAGACAAATTTGTGAGGCAGTTGTTAATTTTTCTTCATTTCCAAAGCTGACATATGCAAAATAAGCAAAAAAGCCAAACATAATATAGAGGGGAAAAAATAAAGAAGATACCAAACTAAACAACATTTAAATTATGTTTTTACCAAAGTGTCGTCTTTGTATATTTTTTACTAAATTCACACATATTCAAGAGTCAAACTCAAAAGACCGTGAAATATATGCGAATAGTTGGTAACAAAAAGTGGCAACAACAGCAGCAACAATATAAAAAATTATAAGTAGTGAAAACTCTGGCAAAAAGAATAACGACATGTTTTAGTAGACTTCCTGTTGAAAACGAAATACTAAAAAAAATTCAACCAACAACCTGCTGGGAAGACAATGAACAAAAATTCATTCATTTTACAAATGTTTGAAAAAAGTGAATTTTAAAGTTAGTTAAGTTTTAGGGAGTCTTTTTTGTTTGTTTTCAGTTGTAATTAAGTAAATTGCAACCACACATGAGTTTAGGGCTTTGTTTGTTGTTGTTGTTTAAAAGAAACCAAAGGATAATTTGTATCCTGTTACTGCTTTTATACTGTCTTTTACCAACAAAAAACCACAATAATTTGCTATTGTTTTAAGATTTTTTTATAAACTTCCCATGGGATATGGGAGTAAGGTATATTATATATTTTTTGCCTAGATTTATACATTTAAATTTTTTGAAAATAGTTTTTATTTTGGAACTATGAAATACATGTTTTTTTTAAATTTATTTTTATTAGTTGCATCTTCCTCTTGAATTTCTTTCTTATTTAAAGTATTTGTTGCACTTTTCACTTTTTTTCCATTTAAAACTTTCTTTCTATTGCATACTTGAAACTTTTAATTGAATTTTTTCACTGCATTTTTCTTTCTATTCAAAGCTAATGAAAGAAAACTTAATGTTCACATAAGGACTAAATAATTCTTTAAACTGAATAACTTTTTTTGCCAACACCATCAACAAAAGTTATTTAGAAAAGAGTTTTAAAGGATGTTGTATATTTTTTAGAAAAAAATGTGTTTAGTTGGACCCAAGAAAAAAAGGTATTAATTGAAAAATCAAGCAGAAGTGCAGAAGCAATTAAACAAACACTGAAAGAAATAAATACGGATTAAAATTGAAAAACTGGGACATTAATGTTAAATATTATTAATTAGAAAATTATTTTAAAAGTAATGCAAATGTCAATTATTACTTCAAAGTCAAATTTTACTGGCGCCAGTATAAAAAATAGTTTTTAATATAATTTCTTAATCCACAATTAAATTTTGTATATGCCTTCCCAAACCAACTTCATCAAAATATTATTAAAACAAAACCTGTCACAATTTTACTCAAGTTTGCTCAATGTTCAGTCATTTATTCATACATTCTTATGACACACACCTACAAACCCAAAGATTTTCCAACCTTCAAAAGCAGTTATTAAATTATATTACTTTTCTCAAAAAAAAAAAAAATAAACAAATGAAAAAAAGCTTTACGAAAAATGTCACACATAAAAATTTAAAATAAATGTTAGAGTAAAGTTACCATTATTTTATGAGATTTCATTTCATGTATATAAACTTAACAACAAATATTAACAAACAACACGCGAAAGCAACAAACCCCCCGGTACACCTTAACTAAAGAGTTACCAACCAGAGCTTAGCAAAAATAAGAAACAAAAATAATAATAATAACATTATAAAGTTGAGTAAAAAAAAAGATTAAATATTTTTGTTTGAATGTATTCTTGAGCTTTAAATCCAAACACATTCATATCTAATTTTAAATACATTGAATGACAGATATAAACAATTTTAACGGTAAATTATTTATATATGAGTGAGTGGGGAGGTAGACATATTTTCTCTAACATTTCTTAATGTTTTGTTTATGGCTCTATCTTATCTTAACGTATGTGTGTATCTTTGTGCTCTTCATGATGATCATGATGACTGTGTTTTTATAATTAATCATCATTATATAGTTAAACATAACTGCACTGAACGTTTTGTTTTTGCGCCATCAAAACTTATATTAAAATATTAACGGTTATGTTATTTAAATGCTGAGAGAGTTTAAATTTAAAGGGTTTTGAAGAAAATTCAAATTAGTTTTACAACATAAAATAAATTGAAAATTTTTAAATTTATTTTTCCAAATTCAATTTATTCAGTTTTTTTTTCTAAATACTATTTTCAAATTTATTTTTCTTGATTGATATTTTAATTTAATATTTTCTTCCTAAATTTATGTAAAAGTGTGTATTTATTTCTTTCTTTCTTTCGTGTTTTTTCGCATTTATTGTTTCTTATTATACAAAATGCACATAAGATTTCTTCTTAAGACATTTGTGAAGGATAAAATGGGGGAAAAACTAAAATAAAATAAACTAAACTAAAGAAATAGAGACACCCAAAAGCAAAAACTGTCTGCCCGTCAAATGCCAAAAAACTATATACCTTTCATTCAAATTGATTGTGTCTAAGCATAAAATACGCTGCATTACAAAGCGATTATATGGTAATATACAAAAACTTACAAAAAGGAAACAATGGCAAAAAAAGAGTTGCCAACTTAGCTTTGAAAAAAACTTTTTCATATTGCAAAAATGCAAATCAGTCTATGGAACGAAAACTTTTTTAGTTTTAAATGAAAATTGGAATTTTCTTTTTTCAAATCTATTAATTGGCAACTCTAAAGTTGTTGTTGTTGTTTTTTGCTTATATTGCATATGTCAGCAAATAATTCGTATCTGTTTATCATCATCCTCTCGCTCTATTCAAATGTTAAATAAAACTATTGGAAAAAAACACAAGTTGATGCCTTTTGTTTTCTTGAGTAACTTTTCTAGAATGCAATATTATTGGCTTTGGAGTTTTCTTAAGATTGACATATAAATATTGTAAGTATTTATTTGTTAGTAATAAGTTTTCGTTTTTGTTATATTGTAACAACAAGATGCTACTTGCCAGATATAATAAATATTTACATTGATATTCAAATAAATTTTATATATAAAATAAAAAACACACATGTAAAGAAATACACATTACAAATTTTCATTTTAAATTTACCAAACTCCAAACTATTATCGCCTTAAATATTTTTTGCGCCATTTTGGCAATTTATTATAATTCGGAAATTGTTTATCACAATGTTTTGTTTACTGTTAGCACATTTTTTTGTAAATCACCAAAAAAAATTTGAGAATTTTTTTGTTGATAACATTTTGTATTACTTTTTTGCAAGTTTTTAATTTCTCCAAATGTTATCGAATTTTTTTAATTTCGTTGTTTTTAAAATTTAGCAAATAAAACAACATAGTGTATATGTTTTAGCAATTAATTAAAATGACTCATTCCTAATTTGAATTTTTAAAAATAAATGTGATTTTTAAAAGAACAACATATTTATCACAATTGTTTTGTTATGTTTTAACTAAAGAAGTTTTTATTTAAATAATTGCGTTTTTATTTAAAATCAACCATAGTTTTCTATTAAGGGTTTTTTTTATTCATAATAATTTATCAAAGATTTATAGAACATATTTTGTAAAAAATTTTTTTATAAACCTTCCATAAATTATTAAGAATAATACCATTAAAGAGTTTTATAAAATTACTTTTTTATTAACATGTTTAAAATATTTACATTTAACATCATCTTTTACTGTTAATTTTCTTATTAACATAAATGTTATATAAACTTATTGTAATTTAAAATCTTAACACGAGCTGCCAGACTACTTTGCTATAACATCAGTTATTTTCTTTAAATACAATTAAAATATATGTATTGTCAATAAATCCTATATTTTTTAAATTTTATTAATTAATTGAAACTTGTTTAAAATAACATTTATAATAAGGTTTTCAAAAATTTTTAAATCATCATATAAACCGTCAATCTAGTTTGTAATTTTTAAAACAAAAATCGCCAAAATATTAATAAACATCATATATGGCAACTTTACACTGAACATACCCCATTGCAATTTGTATTCTCTCTACTCGTGCTCTCTTTTCCGGAACACACACACACATTTAAAAAATAACAAGCAAAACACAGCAACATAAACACCAGCAAATTAAACATTTGGAAAAAACAAAACAAATCATTCGTTAGTGAGACGTGCTAGAGTTTGGAACGTTACTAAATTTATAAACGGAACACAAATGACTAAAAAAAATAATAAGAAAAAGTGATTAATAAAAAATGCATATAATACATACATTTAAACATAAACTAACTTGAAATTTTTTCAAATAAACTAATTTATTAATTAATAAAAAAACATAAATACAAAACCACAAAATGAAGCCTCAACAAACAGTGAAACTAATAAAACATAAAAAATTTGTGGTTTTATGCAGCAAGATTAATAATCTAAATTATTGTAAAATTTTGTAAAACAACAAAAAAATATTTTTAACATAGATTTATGTTTAACTAGAAAATATTTAATTATTAACAGACAATTGAGAAAAGAATCTGAAAAGTTGCTCTGTGAATTTGTATAGAAAAGAGCTTTAAAAAGTTAAGCTTAAACTAAAAGTGTAATTTGTTAATACAAATGAATATTGAATCTATAGAAAAACACAAACAACTATAAAAATAAAGCTTGAAAATATTGTTACTCAAAACTTCTCAAAATTTTAAAATAACACAACGCAACAACAACAACAATAACACAAAAACTGCAAAACAAAAAACCTGTCAAACAAGTTAAGAAATAAATATAAAATAAAACAAAATAATAAATGAAAAAATAAACTACAAAAAGAGGCAAAAAAATATAACCAAAAAAAATTTAATTTAACACAACCAACCCATTTATTTGCCAACTGACAGCAACAACAAAATACAACAACGAAAGCCAACAACAACAAAAACAAACTAGCAAAGAAAACCCCTCTCCCGATTTTTGTTTAAAACTGGATTTTGTTATTACGAAAAACCAAAATATTATTATATTAGTTGTTTTTCTTTTAAACGCCCACTGTTAAACAGACAACAACAAATGCAACACAAATTCATGTTGTTGTTCATTTAGCAAGCAGACTCAAGACGAAAAACAGAAAAAAAAGAAACAGGCTGTTTTTTGTCTGATCCCCATTTTTTACAACTTCCTTTCACACACTTCCCGACTCCCTTTCCTTTACATTTACTTTACAAGAGAACACCAACCAACCAACTCTTTTTTTGTGGCTCTACTTTGGGTCTGCCATAAAAGGAAACCAACATTAAGTTTTGTAAAGTGTGCAAAGTAGAAGAAGTGTGGTTGTTTTTGGTCGCCATCAACGTACTAATAGTTGTTGTACTTACTGTCTGTCTCTCTTAAGAACAATTTTGCAAACAATTTTCTTGTTGTTTGCCAAACAGAAAAAAACCTTGATTAGTTTTTTTATAAATAATATTTTGGTCGTTGGGTCTGCTGTCTGTAGTTGTCGTGTGCCCGTCTTAGATTTTTTTGCTACGTTGGAGTCTTAATTTGAAGGTGGCATTTTATACAGAAGGCGCCGAACGTCGTTGGGTTCGACAAGCCGTTATGGGGGTACTAAGGTGGCGCGATCTACCCGGATCGCGAGTTTCGGTTGGCTCATCGAATCACTCAAATAGTAATCATACAAACAATAACAACAACAATAGAGGAGAGGTAAGGAGATAAATTAACATATTTAAACTAAATAAAACAAATTATTTAAATTTAATTAAAACAAAACGCTTTTTTGGTAATTCCCTGAATTTTAAAGAATTTGAATACTTATTTTATAGACCATGAACTTCTAGCTAGATTTGTCTTTAGAAATTCACTTTGAAAAAGTTAAAACCTCAAGGTTTTACTGTTTTTTGAAAAAAGAAACTGCTAATACATTTGACCTTTTTTACTGTCATGTCAAATAACAATAATAATCTCTAGATTACCTACATACATACACACATACATACTCGTCGCAATAAGCCAAAAAAACCAAAAAGAATGAAATGATGTTAAACTTGTAATTTAAAGTCAGTCATGTCATGTCACATTTAGTTTAATAACCATTCTTTATGACGGTTTCGGGGCAAATTTGGCTTAAAACTGAAACTAAACAGAATCATTAAACTTTAACTAAAAGCCAAAAATGCGTGACTATGAAATAAAATTAAGACATGACTTAAAGAAAATCTTATTTTAAATTTCTTTTAACACTTCTGTCTTAAAATTTCAGTAACTGAAAGTAACGTTTTTCTTTCTACAAGAGAAAAAACCAACTAATTAATCGTGTGATTAATGGTGGGTTTTTCTTTTTACAGATATGTATATGTATGTATGTATATGTAATTGTTTTTATGTTTTTAACAATTCTACTGTTACTTTTGGTTTTCTTTCTTTAATTTTTGTTAATGAAAGTTTATGATTATTTAGCAACCTACGCACCTTTTAACGTCTTTTACTTTGTTGGTTAAATGATTTGGTAAGTTTTATTTCGAAACCATTACCACCATCAACTTCATAATGATGATGATTACCTTCGTCATTATGACTTTGATGATCAACATTGCCTTCCTCATCTGCTGTGCAAGCGTAGAAGAAATTACTCTTCAACTTTCTCTTTTGTTTCAGTTCAGTTTAGTTTTGAAATCTTTTTCTTGTTATTATTAAGTTTAATCATATAGACAAGATAATTGTTTGAAAAAAAAAAGTATCTCAACATTTTAATTCTAATTGATAGAAAAATATACCATTGAAAACAATTATTTATAAAAGCAAACAGTAGCGTAATTAGAAAGGGGGGCTTAGCTTGTGTAAATTAGGTGGATGTGGTAATTTTAATTTCACTTTTATTTCATTTTCCCTATTTTTCGATTGCCTTCTTGAAGGTTTTCTCTGGTAATCATCACTTAATTTATTTTCCCCTCCTGTTAACACCACAAAACTACCGTTAAGGTAATTAAGTATTTTCTTTTTTTTTTTTTTAAAAACCTTATCAAAAATAGACAAATTTCTCCATGTACATACTGTTAGGTTAGGTTTTTTTCTTCTTCTTCTTTACACACCACAAACCAAAAATCTTCAAATCTTTTAAAAACAATCTCTCAAAACTAAAAGAAGAAATGAAATCTGTTTATCATTTCTTTACGCCAAGTTGGTTTAACATAAAACACAACCAAAAACTCAATTGGTTGGTTTCTTATTTTAGGGATAAATGTCTACTAAATTGTAAACATCATAAATTTACAAAAAACAATAAATAAAACCTTTTTATTTTTATGCTATTCGTACTTGGTGTATATTTATGTATTTATAGTTTGTGAAAAAACATAAGAAAAAAATCTTTTAAATCTTTTAAGTTCGTTTAAAAATTTTGCTGAAGCACAATTCAAGCGATGCAGCGTTAAGTGAAAAATTCGGGTTAGTCTTTATTTCTTAAGAAAAGTCTTAATTAAGCTTGTATGTATTAGGATTTCTGAGGTAATGAAATTTAACATAGTTAATCTTTCAATATGACTTTTTGAAATTAAATTTAACATATCGCTTCATAAAATCTTGTATGAATCCTGATATAACATTAAATTTTTAATAATTTTTCATAAAATTTAGTAGTCCTGTGTCCCTGTCGCTTTGATTTAAAATTATCCTTCGAATGCACCCCACACACAGTAGTTGCTGCTAATGGGAGAGCGACGCTGAGTCTGTTTAGTCTATAAAAACAACAAATACACATACATATGTAGTATGTACTCTTTTTTATAAAATATCTCATGAAATAGATTTTTATGGTAGGGTTATTTATTTATACTTTTTTCAAAATATATCTTCTAGTTACAGCTGTATGCGATTTTAAAATTTTATTTTTGAAAATTTGAAAATTAAAACAGAAATATTGCTTTTAATTTTGTTTAATGGCCTGCTGTAAATTAGAATTCTTTGTCATTGTCAGTCATCTCCAAAAACAAATTTCGTAATCTCTAAATTTTTTATAGTTTTTTTTTTTTTTTTTAATTTTTAAATTATTTTTGTAAAATTAATGTCTATTTCTGTTTTGCCATTCAATGTTATTATCAGTTTTTATATAGAAAACACTTATCGGAATGAATAAATGAATGAGTGAATGAGTGGATGGATGGAAGCGTGAATATATTTCCGTTTTTTCAAAAAATACAAAATTTATTACCAATTTTTGTTTTGTTATTTTATTTTTTTTTTGCTGTTTGTGTTTCTGTGTGAAATTTTTGTTTGAAAAACAGATTTTGAACATATTCGCGTATATATTCACGCTTGATTTGAAACATAAAATATTATGAAAGGTTATGGTAGAGATTAATTTTGTTTGTAACAATAGTACGAAAAGTATAAGTATTATTCTAAAAACATGTGGTTTTTATTTGGAATTTTATTTTCTATTAGATTTTCCTCTACTTAACTGGAATACGTGTGTGAATATGGGTGTTTTTTTCTTCTAAAATCCTCTAAATTGTTTTTGACAATACAATTATATATTTAACTGCAGTTTCAAGTACCCAGCGTACTCGTGTTTGTTTGTTGCTGTATATGAAGATGATAATAATGATGATGTTGTTGATATTGTTGATCAATATTCTTTACCAAACATTGGATTTATACTTGTAGTCGTGGTACAAGTTCAAAAACCCTGTACAAGGTTAAACTGATTTCCTTCATAGAGTTTTATTGTTTAGTTTCGTTTTCTTTAAATTACAACAACAACAAAACCTACCTACATTGAAAATTATGTCCGTCCATGCAACTTCTATAGTTCGCCCAAGAGTTTGAGTTTTAGTTGTTTTGCGTTATCTCTCTATGTCTGTGGTTATATCTATAACAATATCGTACTACCAATCACTAGCAAACGTACTTCATAAATCCATACAACAACAGCCAGCAGCTAACAATTCATTTATTTATAAAATGAAAATATAAATAAAGCAAAAAAATCGACAACTACCTACCAGGTTTATTTATTAAATGTTGTTGTACTCTACATTAACAATTTTAACACTAAAGTAAGTTTGTTTTGTTGTATTTAGTAGTTTTTTTTTCTTCTGTAATTGTAATAAGTATCTCTTGTTATAATATTATAAAATATTAAATTATTTTCAACTTGATTACATGCGAAAGTAAACATGAAAATGATCACTTATTTAAACATTTTTGTTGTATTTGTTGTAAAATGTAATACTACTACTTATGGTAACTATGCGCTACTCGTTCGTTTTAATATTTAGATACTTTTTTTGTACATACATGAATTGTTTATACTTCCTTTGCTTTATTATATATTTCATTTTGGTTTTATTTAATAGCTATTTGTTTAGTTTTGAACAAAAATGAAAAAAAAAATCACTAATTTGCTATTAAACAGAAGGAGGTTTTGTGTTGTGGTCTTTAAACCAAGTTTTACTGGGGAGTTGAATCTAAAGAGGAGAAGGTGTTTTATTACTTTAAAACGTGTCTTGCATAATTTAAGTCCATTTTTAAATGCATTTAACGCATTTAACTCCTTCATTTGTTAGCTTTTCTTGTTTTTAAGTTATTGACTATAAATGGTAGATAAATATTATAAAGATTTATGAAATCTATTAAGAAAAAACTATATAAAGTTTTACTGTTTTTATTAAAATATATAATATCCTTACATAAAGGGTGTTATTCAGCTTTAAAAAACAAAGTTTGTAGACAAATTTGTTTTATAAACCTTTGATAACTTAGGCAGGAAGAACACACAAAATACTTTGGGTTGTTCTAAAACAGGCATATTAGCCCCTTAAAAACTGGATCCATAAAGTAAAATAGAGATGTCATGAAAGTAATTGTGCATTTGGTTTAAAAATAGGCTTATTTTTTGTTTTAGAGACAAAATTACTAAAATCTCAAGTTTTTTTTTTTAAATGTCAGATTATTTAAATTTTTCCCATACACAATTTGTCATATTGTCATTTTATTTTATAAAATATTTTTTTTTTCTTAATTTCCTCAATTTTACAAAATTTATTTAATGATCATTTCTTAAAAACAGCAATTAAAATGTAATTTATAAAGCTGAAAAAAATTACATAATCAAAATTTATTATAAACTTTATACAAAATTTTCTTTTTCTTCCGCCAAGACCATGAAATTTCTAAAAAAAATCTTTAATATTGTGTTACTACGTTTTTCTTTTATTATAAAATTTTCGTTTAAAAAAAATACCCACAGGTTATTATAACATCATTATAAGTCTTTTATGAATATTATTAAACTTTTTTGTAAATAACGTTTTTTAGTATTTTGTTTGTTTGGCTAATTATGGTAAATAATAAAGAAAAAAAAACTAAAAACACTTTTACTTTTATTACGATTTTTCTGAAGATGAAGATGACCAGTGATGAATAAATAAATGACCAATGGAATGAATGAAATAATATTAATGGGAGAAATGTAGCAGTAAAGAAATAATAGTATTAACATTTTTTTGTAAAACAAATTATAATAGTTAAACTATTTAAGAGAAATCGTAAATACATTTGATATTTTCAACGGATTGTTAATATTTGTATGGAATGTTGATGATTATTTTTTCAAAAACTGAGGAAATTGAGAAGGTGTTTTAAAAATAGCATTTAAAATTTTTGTTTGCTTAAAATATTTATAATTAGTTTAAAGCCGGTGTTGG